TATGTCATGAGAATAAGAAGAAAACGGGCTTCGCATAAAAGCTTTGGAAATGATACGGGGCTTGGAGCAGATTACAGGTTAACGTATTGGTCAGAGATGCAATGCCATTTGACAGTCACACAGAGACATAACATGTAGTAACTGCAAATAATCTTCTATCTGTACTTAGTTTTGGCTGAGATTTTATGAGGACAAGTCATTCCACTGTGACCACATAATAAGCAAGATATGGGAGACTTGGAGAGGGTCCAGAGGTCTATAATGAAAATAATTAAAATTTAAAAAGAAAAGAAATCCTTGAGGAAATGTTGAAGGATGTGGGGTTATTTTGTCTGAAGAGAACAAAGATGTGAGCAAGGAGAACCTTAATAACTATTTCAAAATACAAAAAGACTTTTTCAGAGGACGGGAAACAGTTGTTCCCCTTTTACGCTAAAGAAAGAGCAAAAGAAATGTGTGATCCTCAGAGGATAATACCATAAACGTGATAAAGAGGTCATTCTTTATCCTACTTAAGAAGAGTTATCTTAATTCTCCCTCTTGGGACTTGTAAGTAGGAAGAAACAAAAACTTTAATATGATCAGAGGACAAAAGTTTCTCTTCTCACACTGTCCCTGAAACACACACTGCCAGAGAGTATCCATCTTCCAACCAAAGACATATAGAGTTGTGCACTGTGAATGTTGAACATTTATGGGGTTTCTGGGAGGAATGTACGGCATAGGCCAAAGGTCTGAAACTCTTTAGGTTGGCCACGTATTTTATAAGATGGAATTATTTACTAAAATTAAAAATATTTTATTGTAGGGCTTCCCTGGTGGCGCAGTAGTTGAGAGTCCGCCTGCCGATGCAGGGGACACGGGTTCATGCCCCGGCCTGGGAGGATCCCATGTGCCGCGGAGCGGCTGGTCACGTGAGCCATGGCCGCTGAGCCTGCGCGTCCGGAGCCTGTGCTCCGCAACGGGCGAGGCCACGACAGTGAGAGGCCCACGTACCACAAAAAAAAAAAAAAAAAAAAAAAAATTATTGTAGATAATAATAGAAGTTTAATAGATAATAGAAATACTAGAAATTTAGAATAGAAATTTAATAAAGTGTGAATAATTGTTTTATAGAAATCATAGAAATTTAATAAAATATTTTTAATATTTTCAATGCTGTACATTAAAGAAGAATGTATAGCATAGGCCTGAAACTCTTTTGGTTGGCCACATATTTTATAAAATGGAATTATTTACTAAAATTAAAAATATTTTAGGGCTTCCCTGGTAGCGCAGTGGTTGAGAGTCCGCCTGCCGATGCAGGGGACGCGGGTTCATGCCCCGGTCCGGGAAGATCCCACACGCCGCGGAGCGGCTGGGCCCGTGAGCCATGGCCGCTAAGCCTGCGCGTCCGGAGCCTGTGCTCTGCAACGGGAGAGGCCACAATAGTGAGAGGCCCGCATACCGCAAATGCACGACACAAAAAAAAAAAGATACCTGGCAAATCTGGACCCATTCTTACTGGGCTGGAGGTGTGTGGTGCAGCCCACATTAAATAGCACATGTGCCCGAGTCCCCAGCATTTCCCACCTGGCTTGGGTCATTCATTCTTGTTGCCTGCCTTGTCTCTTTAGATATTTGACTCCATAACTATGGGTTTAAATTAAAAGGAGCAATGAAAGGGGGACCATTCAATGGCTTTGCCAAACTTATAGAGCTTACAGAGTACCCCCCCCCCTCGCTGCTCCCTGCACTCTCTTACTGTCATTTTATTTTAGAGCTATGTAACCAAGTTCGGACTTGTATAGAGTTCTGGACAATAGTGCATGAAGAAGAGATACAAAAAGGAGATAACCCTCCTGGGCCTTCCAAAAGTATTCTATGGAGCCAGGCTTCTCTAAGATTGGGACAGTATGGTAGGAACCACTTCAAGCAACAAAGAATTGTAGTAACTGGGTCTTCTTGGAGCATCATTTATTTTCAATGAGGAGTCATTTAAAACATGATTTTTGTATTAAAATATAGTATTATAGTTTGCAGAATTCAAGAACATTTACAAAGGATAGCATGAAATTTCAAAGGCATTTGTCACTAGTACCAGAGAACCAGGTTCTCATACTTTTGCCATTCTTGGGTATTTTACTGGCAGAGTTTGAGCAGCGTAGCTAGATTTCTGGCAACTCCAAATCATTGCAGCTTCTATCCCCTGTGCCTTCAGTTGCTCCTGAATCTCTTCTCAGAAGTTTTATAAGCATAAGCGTATTTGTCCAAAGCACAAGTAAATTTAATTAAGATTATGTCCACCAAAATCAAGCAACTCTTCATTTGAAATATTATTTTTAAAATTATCCCCAATTAAAGCACTATTTCAGCATACTATCCTGGTTAATGACACACGTCTGAAGTCAGATTGTCTGGACTCTCTGGACTCTCATGCCACAGCTGTGTGACCTTGAATGAGTAACTTAACCTCTATGTTCTTCAATTTCATTGTCCCTTCATAAGATTGTTACAAGATTTAAATGGGTCAACATTTGTAAAGCATCTCGAAAATTACTTGGAATATAATAAGTGGTACAAACCTTGTTGTACAGAGCCCTGAAGTTTTATTTTTCTAAAGCTTTATTTTCAGGTAGAAGGAGTATGGCTATCCATATAAGGAGTTTCATAACCTTATCTTGAGGTGATAACCTTGGGTGGAATACATCTATCAGTCAATTTTCTAATGATCCAACCTTTAGTAGCATTAGAAGGGAAGGCAAAGTGCCAAAAAAAAAGAGAACTTCTAACCCAAAAGAGCTGTTTAAGGGTGTCTTGACATCCCAAAAAGCAATAGAAAGACCAGGACAAATGGAAGCCCTGCCAAATAGCATTTATTTCAAAAATGTGAGAGACTTGATCTCTAAATTTTATTTTGAAGAATCACATTTTAAACAAAGGGACAAACATTAATGCCTCATTCTATTCAGTGGCATTTAAATAAGACCAACTACATTCACTTAAGGGTGTTCTGGGGAGGTTGTTTTATTTTTTGTCTGATAGATTCTAAAAGCATAGATTCTATTCCAAATACCATATCTAAGAAATTACCTAAGCTTTTGCCCAACTAGATGACAGAAGCTTATTCTAAGAGTGAGGATCCATGCTTTTGCTCTATTATGATATACCCATAATTAAATCGCAGTAAAAAACTAGCAATCTTAAGTTTTTCTGATAAGCCTGGCTTAGTAATTCGCAAGCTTTTTAGTCTCAGGACCACTTTACACTCTCAAAAACTATTAAGAACCCCAAGAGCTTTTTGTACGTGGATTATATCAATAAATACTTACAGAATTAGAACACTTGAAATGGAAAATTTTTTTAATTTCTATTTTTATGCCATTAAAAATAACATTAAATCAAACGCATGCTAAAATAAATGACATCCTTTTAGGAAAAAATAACTATATTTTCCAAAGCCATAGATAAATAAAATCATTAGTGACAAGAGTGACTTTGTTTCACATTTTTACAAATCCCTCTAATGTCTGATTTCAGAGAGTATAGCTGAGTTTTTATGTCACCTACCACATTCAGTCTGCTGCAATATATGTTTGGTTGAAGTACAAGAAAACAATCTGGCCCTCACAGATACACTATATAGTTTGAAATGGGAAGAATATTTTAATAGCTTTTTTTTGACATTTCTGGATATTCTTCTTTGATACTACACTCAAACCTAAGAAGTGGTAGTTTGTTACAGGTTTATTGCAACATGGAATCTGAAACCATATCAATGATATTTTTGTACATGTTATAGTTAAATCTATAGGTCTGTCTTGCACTTTCATTGGGTGTTTTACCCATGCATAGTTTTGTAACACTATGCATTGGCCATCTGGAAAATTTGAGTCACTGAATTATGTAAACCACCCAGATGATGATACAGCAATGTGGAAAAAATCACATTTATTAATATAGCTTCATTCTCATCAGAAAAGCCTTTAAAAATTGAGATGCTGTGAAGCTCATGGTGACTGATAAACATTTTCAGAAGTTCTAATTTTGCTTGAGAGCTCAAACTTTATCGTTAAAAATGAATGCTATCATTTCTTTTCTTGAAGTAGGTTTACTTGTTTATTTTTAAGAAAATGTTCAAATACCCAAGTTAGAATAACTATAGTTTATCTGCTAGTCACTTTTTCAAGTAATAAATGTTTTCCATTAAAAACAAGTGGCTACTTCAGCTTATAACTCAAACAATCACACAAGTGCTTTTCCTCCTGACACCATTCTACTTTGGGATGCAGCAGAATTGTTTTATGTGTAATTCCCATTTTACCACACAAAGTATTAAAAAGACAATAAAATCCGGGCTTGGGCTTTCATAAAAATTAATAATTTTTACTGCTTCATTGAGGTCATTCTTAAATGAAAGTGCCATTTTCTTTTCTTTTCATGAGAACATGGCCATGATAAATACTATACAATTTGATGCCCCTGTCTTGATTCATGCCCAGGTGCCAGCTGTTTGATTCATCATTGCTTTTACACCATTACTACGGTGTGCTAACAAGAAACAGCCAAGTAACATCTTAGGATTATCATTTAAAAACAGTTTTGACCTCATGGACCTCTTGAAAAGGTCCCATGTCAAACTGCAGACCGTGGTTTGAAAACTGCTGATGTAGCTTAAGGAAACTCTCTCTTCTTTGAAATCCTAAGCTCCCTATGGCCTTTACAGTTTGTGTGACATTCCCTTTTTCCACATGTCTTCTGTCATCATCTTGAATTACCATTTGTACTTTTTATTATTATGGTTATATCTTTCCACATGCTGACCTTGGCTCCCTCAATAGATAGTATAGTGCTTTGCTGCTCAAAATGTGGTCCATGCAGCAGCAGCAGCAGTATTACCTGGGAGCTCGTTAAAAATACAGAATTTCAGATCTTACCCCAACATTACTGAATCATAATCTGCATTTTAACAAGATCCTCGGGTGGTTTGTAGGCACTGGTGTAATGGAGATCTGATATATTCACCTACCATTCTCTGTTTCAGAAAATGTATCATTTCCCTATTTCAAAAAATACCCCAACTCCAACACATGAGGATGGCTCCACTTTTTCTACTACAGAGGTGGATGTATAACTCAGGTAAGCTATTGACTTACCCTATCCCTGTGAACAGAGTGGTCCATGGCTGGGCATGGGTAAACCAAACCCTTTTTCTGAATCATAAGGATGCTGGGAGACCCGACATGCTCTTTTCTCTGGGATTATTACTTGTAAAGTCCATGTAAACCTAGAGTTGGTGCTGGTCATCTTTGGTACAACATGAAAGAAAGCTCTCTGAAATGAGTCCAAACGAGAAGGTCAGAAGTCAGAGGTGGAGATAGACCCTTAATGACATAATTTGAGCTCCAGCATCCAGCTTGGCTTGAAACCATTTATCCCTGTGATTATCAATAGATTCTCCTTCTTTGGCCAAAGTTAGTTTGAATTGGCTCTCTGCTCCTTGCAACCAAAAGAGTTCTGACATAAGATGAAAAAATTTAAGGACAAATGTTTAATTTGTATTTTTAAACCTCAAAATATTAACAAGTGCCTTGAATATGATGGTCACTGTTGTTCAGCATCTCAGCTTCCATTTAATTGAATCTCCTCATTTTATACCTTTCTAAAATGTTCATTAGATTAGGTCAAACCTGGCTCAAATGCTTCAACTGTTCCTTTCCATGGTGGGAAGGGGAGTATTTTTTTTTAAGCTTTTCACAATGTAGTACTACCCACCCTTACAGCTTCTCTGTTAATTCTTCTTCACCTGTGCCCTTTATCCCATTTGCCGGTTCTTAAAGGAGCCCTAGACTTTCTTGCCACAAAGACTTTGCACCTGCTTTTCCCACTAAACCCTGGATATCTAATTGATGATCTCCTACTTGTTCTTGAAAAGCCTTTTCAAGGATCACCTCTTTCAGGAAGTCTTTCCTAATGCCCACTCATTTCCTTCCCTGAGATTGTGCTCTTTCTGTATTCTTTATCAAGCCTTTACAAACGGTATTAAAATGGCTTGTATATTTGTCAGTTTAGCCTGGAAGATTGTGAACGTCTTGAATGCAGAAATTTCAGTTTTCACCCCTTTATTCCCAGGCTTAGTACAAAACCTGACCCTTAAAAAGCACCCTTTAAATATTTATTGAAAGCAAAGAATAACTGAAAATAACAGAAAGACTTTAGTCATTACCCTTGGATTCTGCCATATACTTGCTCTGTGATCTGGGTTAAATCACTTATACTACTGAGATTCTGCATTTCTTTGTCTGTAACACTGGGATAATAGTGTTCTCCTTGCCTAGTAGAATAGTTCCATGAAATAATAGGCAGAAAGATGTCCTATCCCCAAAGATGTCCATGCCTTGATCCCTGGAATCTGTGAATATGTTATGTTACAAGGCAAAAAAGACGTTGAGATATAATGAAGGTTACAGACCTTGATATGGTGAGAGTCTGGATTATCCAGCTGTGCCCAATCTAATCACATGAGCCCTTAAAAGAGGAGAATTTTCTCAGGTGGGAAGCAGACAAGCGATGAGGCAGAGGTGAGATCAGAAAGACTCATAGCTTGAAAAGGCGTTGATCTACCATTTCTGTCTTCGCAGATGGAGAAAGCAAGCCGTCAGTGTAGGAGTGTGGGTGGCCGGTGAAACTAGAGAATAATCCCTGGCCAACAGCTTCAGAGAAACGGCTACCACAGTCCTACAGCCACATGGAACTGAATTTTGCCAGCAACAGTGAATGAACTTGGAAGTGAATACGTCCCCAGAGCCTCAAGAAAAGACTACAGCCCTACAGGTACCTTGATTTCAGCCTTGTGAAACTTGAACCAGCTAATCCAACCTGTGCCTATACTTTTGACCTACAGAACTATGAAATAATAAGTTGCTGTTTTAAGCCAGTAAATTTATGGTCCTTTGTTATGGCAGCAATAGAAAACCAGTACATATGAATTTTATAAACTAAAATGTCAGACAAATATGTGCTGTTATAATTTGATACTGCAATCTCTTGGAGATTTTGGGTTAAAGGATGTGCTGACCCAGTGTTGTATCTTACAAGGAGGATAAGGGTGAGAGAAGAAAGGAAGTGATGTTAAAGTCATGAATTTAGTTTGCTCTTCAAATGTTTAACTTTGAGGGTGCCTTTTTCCAAATCCCTGGAGATTTGGCCTTCCTGCATGCAGAGAGGTTTTACTAAAGCTTGTAAAAGCTTTTAATAGCTTTCTTTAAAAAAAAATCATTCTTAACTCTCTCTTCCGTGCTATTCCCCTAAATGTAAGAAAGCACAAAGATACTAAAGAAACACAGGAGATCAAATTAAATCAGGGGCCCTCCTAGCTCCTCCATTATTCAAAGCACTTAGTGGACTATAAATGATTTAAGAGTGATACAACCAGACATCCCAGAGTAAATAACTTTCATTTTCCTGATTGGTAGGCAGGAGAAAGAAGATTCCATATTCCCATTAGCAAAGATTTTGAGTCATCTTTTGCCAAAAATAAGAGAGCATCTTTTTTCCTGTCTAGTCTACTTTTTTTTTTAATATGTGAAGACAAATCAAGAGAAAAGGAAAGGAGATTACAACTTTATTTCTGCTTTTATTGGATAGTTATGATATGCCAGCAGGCTGCTGGGCACTGCACAGAAGGTAGAAATGAGCCCCTGAGTACTTGATCTGTGATGTAAATGAAGTCAATCAGAATGTAATATTACTACAAGGTTCACACCAAAGCTGTGGTGTTTCTTCTAACTGCGCTCAGCACTTAGAGCAGTTGAGACTAAAAACATGCTTTATAAACATTAATTAATTATGCTGGGCTTAAATCTAATTCCTCCAGTGGATAGAACGTGTGTACAGAAGATGAAAGAGTCAGCTGTAACCTGGTGCTCATTTTAATTCTGGATTGTAGGATCAGCTAATAATAATCACTGTAATAGCTGACACTTGTAATCTTCAAAGCATCCTTTAAGCACTTATTAATCAACCATCACACTGCCCTGTGGGAAAGGTAAATATTATTCTCCTTATTAATAGCTTAAGAAATTGTAGCTTCAAGTGGCATGGGTTTGCCCAGGGCTCCCCCAAAATACCTCAACTGGAGAGTTGAGAGTTAAGAGTCCCTGTATTGGCTAGGAGCAGACCATAAAGTTTACCAATACCACATCATGAGGGGAGCTTCAAAGCGGTGAAACTTACAGCGGGCTTCTGTTACTAGAGAAGATGTCCCAGGGTACATCTAGAAAAGAGGGAAAAGGGCAATGTATCAGAAAGTTGGCCTGCTCCCAGAGAAAGTCTCCGCTCAAGGAGTTTCCTTAGACTGCAACACACGTTTTCCTAATTTCTCCAGCACAGTCAGTCCTGGAATGTTCACTAAATGGGTTTAAAATGGGGGAAAAAACTTCCAGCCCAAAGGCCTCATACAGCCCACAGATGTATCCATCTGGCCTATACAGTGTTTTATTTTTAATTGCACATATTTAGGGTGCAGACGTCCTTGCACTCTCTCCACTGGGTAGGAGACAAATGCATTCGACACCCCTGGTTATTAACACGTGTAGAGCACAGCATCCAGAGATGCCTTCTTACACCCAGAACTACCACCAGCTCGGGACAGATGATGGTTCCTTCCTTGGAACCATCCTGGGAAAGGATAGCTAAATGAGGGCGCTAGAGCATCTCCAGTTTGCTGCCACCATTGCAATCTTTATTCTTTGTCCCACCTCTCATTCTGCTTCCTTTTCAGCCTCAGGCTTTCTTTCCCCCCCATGTGTCTGGCCTTCTTACTCCCAGTTCTGAGCTTTCACACTGACTTTTCCCTCTGCTGGGAATGGTCTTAGTAGCTCTTTATCTATTCAAGTGTCATTCCCACATACTCCCCCCATTCCTTCCCCTGCCTTATATTTCTTCATAGCAACGATCATTCCTGAAATTACATTATGTACTTGTTTAGTTTTTAATTTTTTGAATCTCTCACTGTTTTCTTTACTGCTGAAACAGATCAGAGCCTGACACATAACAAGCATGCAACAATATTCGGTGAACCAATGAATTAAGAAGTAGTGAACATATTTCCATGTCTCTCTCTCTCTATTTATGTCTTCATTATTATTTTAATAGTGGCATAATAGTCCCCTAATATCTAAATTTATTAAACAATCTTTGGTTTTTGGAAATTGAGGTGGTTTTCCACATTTTTTTTTTTTTCATTTAAACTAGTATAACATGAAGATCATGTTGGGGAAGGGTGAGTGTAACAAGGAGGACGGGATCTGGGTGAAAAATCAAAGCCACCCTGTTTCTTGGCAGTCAGGGACTGCTCTGCTCCTGTGATCCAGCTGACTTCTAGGAACTCCATCTCTTTTAACCCTGAGTTCATGCAGGAGCCCTCCCAGGTCAGATGCTTTCCTTCTGCTACTTGGTTCCTGTATCTGGCTGTGTGGGTCCCAGTTCCTGCTTAAAGATGATGAGGAACTATACGCATGAGGCGTGTTCTCTGTAAATGTCAAGTCCTTTCCTACCCACATTGATAAAAGGGGAAGGCACTGAGTTCATGATTCCTTTTCCGTCTGATCTCATCCTGTGTTTTATCCCTTTCGGGAGCTAATCATGGATAGAATAATCTGATTACACTAATTTAGGATAATGCATTAATGCAAGAGGTTTTGAACAGCCAAATAATTTTCTGCTAAATTTGGAGCCTTCAGGAGAGATTATCATGCATTGTGATTTTCAAAAACAGTTCTGGGAGGGGTAGGAGTAGTTAAGGGGCCAAGTGAGGGTGTTTGTGGTTACTATCAAATGAGTCACATTCTCTGGAAAATGGAGTGCTGAGTTCACAGAACAATCCAATGCACTGTTTCCCCAGCTCCTCACTTACAGTATGTAGACTCTGCCATAAGAGTATTTTAGGCCTGTCCTCAATTCTGCCCTCAGTTTTCTTGACTGCAATTCAGCCTGGGAGTGACTGATGGGAGGTTAGTGTTCAGACTGTGTCTATATGTCGCTGAGAATGGATTTTAATCTTACATTGCTAAGAGACCCTGCCATTCCACAATGCATACTGAAGTACAGCTTCTGCTCCTCTTATAATTAAAAAGTACAAGATTCCTGGGTCTGTTTCCTAGAGGCAAACAGTATTAATCTACACACCTGAAATGCTGTTTCAGTATTCATCTTTGTAAAAAGCATCTGTAGGTTTTGTCATAAACACATAGTGTTTAAGGAAACTAAATTAATTACATGCACTTTAGTATTATAGTACAAAGTAACAAACCTTACCTTGAATGCATATTTTATCTGTCTTGCTGAGAGGAAAGACAGATGAAAGAAAAATGTGTACTTAAATATTCACTTAATAGTGTAGATGGTGAGGGGCAAACATGTGTGGATGAAAAATGAATTCTATAATGAGATATTTTTGAAATAAATGAAATAGAAATATTTATGGCTAAAATACAAGCATAATCTCAGGAACTGCTGAAACAAATACCATTACTAATAAGATATTTCTGGAGGCTCACAAAAATATAATCAATGTTTCAGTTCATAAAATTTCAAAAAATTGAATTTACATTTGCTAAACCAATTAACAAATCCTAATTTACACAGTGTTGGTGCTTCTAATTGGCAGCCGTGCATTTTTATGAGTCCTCTTGTTAATCTCTTATGGTAATCAAACTCACAAATTTAAAATTCATTGGTGTTCTTGATACATGTACCTAGTTAAAATTCTTAATTAAATTAGGGTGACTAAAAGAAAAGTCGTTTTAAAAGTAAAATCATAAAGTGTTATGACTCATGCTGTAAAAATTAACATAAAGTAGGTTTGGGGAGAATCATTCTGAAGACTTTGCAATTAGGAGCACCTGCTATTAGTGCACTTGTTAAACTTTTATCAATTAATCATTACTCTCAAATAGCAAGAAGAATTGAATGTTGTGAATATGAAGAGAGTGATTAATTGCAAGTGGCAAATTGCTGACTGGCTCCATTATTACCTGTGCTTTAAGGATTTTTAGAAATAGATGTCTGTTATCAGTTTTATGAATACTAAATTATACTAATGTGTTCAGTATTGGTTGGTTTTCTGTCTTCCTTATTCAGTAATGATTGTTTTCTCAAAGTTTTAAAGATGACTTGGAGAACATGGATTCTGTAATAGGATATTATTATGGCCTCATCAGAAACACTTAATGATTGCATTATTTAATCTTATTGTCTAAAGACATGCCATCCATATTTTTTATTAAAAAAAAAAAAGCATGGAAAGAGAAAATAGGGGTTTTTTTGCTCCAGTGTAGAAATCGATCCCTATTTGAAGTACAATTTAGGATTAAGCAATATAGCACTATGGCTTCAAAATGTTAATTAATTCTCAATTTGGCCCTCTGTTACTCAGACTAAGCATTTAGATTGCAAAGGGCACTTTTGTTAAGACTCATTTTATTACAAGTTAAAATTGCAGGGAAAAAAATTGATTTAGAAATGTGTTTCTAAATCAATGCAGCAATAGTAGAATACCTAAAATATTTGCTAAAATGTACTTTTCATTATTTCAAGATTCACACAGGGATCTCTAATGGTCCCTGAAAATCTAGAGATTACTAAGAAATGTGATTTTAACTACCATGAAATTGCCATAGCTATTTATCTTAGCTACTCATAGATAAAGCCATATAACTGTTAGATGGAAAGAGTCTCAAATATAGGCAAGACTTTAGCTATATACTTCTAAAAGTAAAACTGTCACTGTTTGCAGATGACATGATACTATACATAGAGAATCCTAAAGATGC